GGGGTTTAGGGTTTAGGGATTTGTATGCTTGGATCGCTTGGGCCACCTGTCCCAGTCCTCTGCAGCATCGGCATCGTTTGCGGATTCACACTGTTCTGGTTCTGGCTCACTTGGCCTTGCAGCGCAGACGTATCCGTTGACATGATGCCAGAGTGAGTTCAGCAAAGCCTGAGTGCTTGCTCAGCACCCTTGCAAAAAAGGATCCTTTTTCGCGCCCAAGTCCAGTTGCACTCAGCCAGTTCAGCTAGGTTAGTCAGAAAGCATACGCAAGGGCTTCGTCAGCGGCTTCTTCGTGATGAGCGCCATCTGAGTCCTTCGTTGAGCTGCCTTGCGCTTCATCGTTCTGGATATTGGGACGGCGCAGCTGAGATTGCACTTGGCCAAGCTTATCAGTTGCGTGTTCTTCAGCGGGGTGAGCACATAAGAGTCATCTGCGACCGAATTGCAGCGTTGTGGCGCTTCGCATCCGGTTCACACAGGTGAAACGTGTGGGCGCAGGGACAAGCAGGCTGTAGCTAAGATGGACCCAAGAATCCACCAATCAAGGCCCCATGCAGCCTGCTCGAAAATACCTGCAACTCAAGTTGCAGTACAATGAGAACTATCGTTCCTTGGTGTGTATGAAGTGGAGCCCCTGTTTGCATATAAGCGTGTAAGCGTCAACAAGCTGAAATTCTGCTGATTGCTTAGCTGCTTCTTGGGGCAAGGGCCAGCCCTTGGTCTTCATGGACGTAGCATACATCTTCGAAGGTAGTTGACCCACTCTTACTTCAAGACCTTCCTAGGGTTTAGGGTAGTTGTAACAGATAGTAACGTAGTCATCGTCGTGATAAGGCTTGTGACAATTCTGCAAGTCTGACAATAGTAGTTCGCAGCAATAATGGTAACAGTTCCCGTAATCGTAACGGTACTAGCGAACAGAATCGTAATAGTAATTTTAGTAATCACCCTACTACTGCAAACAAGCTCAATCAGGTTCTTCTTCAGGGCGGCTCATTGCAACGCTGACCTTACAACAGACGTGAGCCCAATTCCAACAAAGGTGGGAGACATCTAGGCCCATGTGGGATCCCCAAATATCGTATAGCCTATGAAATTGGAATGCAGCATTAGTTTGTGTCTATGATGCCATAGTTATACAAGGGTTGGTAGGGAAGGCTATGAAATGAGGGTATCTGATACTATAGACTATAGTCATGTAGGGGTTGTGAGGGAATGATGTTGCTCATCATGCAGGCACCTACAGTACTGAAATTCCAGAGGCAGAAGTATCCTGTTGCTCGCCTTCTGCACGGATCTCATGGCCTACAATTGTAGCTACCACTGATTTGACGCGTGTTGTGCTTTAGCCTGCTGGATATCCTCTGCGTAGTTGTCTGAAAGCCCTTCTCGGCCCGACGGACCTCATTGTACCACTCCCATGCTCCTAAGACCACCCCGGGTTGTGCTAACTACTACGGTGGATACTACCTTGGGAATTATGGTACTACTGAGGCCATGCAGGATTTTTAGTATTAACAGTACCAGCAAGGCCTAGCTCAGTCAGCAGGCAGGCCTCCGCGCTGAAGAACACGATTTGCCAACAGCACCACTAGGGACAGTATGAGGATAGCCTTGCTGGTGGTTACTAGGGATTAAGGGAATATCATCCCT